TATCTCTATGCATTGATAAAACCAACTAGGCGAAACGGGGATCTGAAGTTGTCACTTGAGGCGGTAGGAACGTTCGAAAGTTGGGATGCACATTTGAAGACATCCATGTGGCAAATAATACTTTAATAGTCGTTCACGCTGCATAATACGAGCGTATGCAACGTGTCCAACAGTGGAAAATCCAATATCATGTGATCCCAGTGCATGGACAGAGGATGTTGGTGGATGGGAATAAACCATTGGATGAAGAAGGCTGACCTTGGTCATAACCTTGGTTGGAGCTGTTCTCGACAAATGAAGTGTGAGCTGGCAACAATTTAAACGACAATGATTCGTCGTCCCTTTTACTACCACGCAATGAGATCTAAGTATGGTGGGGAGGAATTGGGAGCCAAACAACTTTGAAATCACAACCTAGATGCAGTGGGCTTTGTACGCCTTCGCCCGGGTATTCTGTCGCACTACAAATTCACTCAATCATATTGGTAGTTTGTTGCTCTGCACTACCACATAACGGTATTGTCCCTCTGTTCTAACTGGGGAATGTTCGATACCGAGCGGGACAGCAACCGGTTATACTGAACGTAGTGTTATCCAGCTCCTTGCGGAGAACAATCTTGTCACGAATGTTACGGAGCTTCTTGATGAGGATTTTGTGACTTTTCACAAACCTCCAGTTGACATAATAGGAATTAAGCAGATGTTCATCATCTCAGTTAGTAAGCCATCAGACACCCGGGAAAGCACTGTACAACTGTTTCATCCTATTGGGAATAGTCACTTGGTGTAAGATCAATAATGTACTCTGCACGGCAGTAACGTGTAAGTCAGTGGATAGAGAACGGTGTTATATCACATCCAATGACTTAGTCACATTGATCGTTACCGTCTCCGTACGCCAGTGGTATTTACCATGGACTAATAACAGTCGGGTTGCAGGATCTATCCACTCAAATACCAGGTGGACTATGCACCTTTGACGATACCCAGAAGAATGAAGCGGACGTACAGTGCTCTTCCAGGCGTGTGGTGGCTGTCTGCTTGAGTCGAGAGGTGCTGAATATCTACTTATATCATTCAACTCCGCAAGTAATAGGTGTTATTTTCAGCACGTGCGACAGAACCAGAGTGTGAAACCACCAGAAAGAGGTTACCGTAGTCAATGTTAATAAATTGTGGAGAATAAACCCTGATCACGAGTAAGCCACGTAGCGGAGGCACAATGCACCAAGCAGAGGAGTGCAACTCAAGGCTGCAGCATCCGTCTAGCTCACGATCGCGTGTCATGGAATGATGTGACACAGAGAAACGGCAGGGCCGTCCACACCACGCACCCACGAGTTTGCACAGGGAAGACATCGCGAGAACCCGTTCCACGTCGGGAACGCGCTTGTGCGCACACATCATCAGTTGAGCAAAAGCTGCACTTCCTTCCCGATATGCGGATCATTCTGGAGAAACAGTAAAGGGGGGTTGGAGGGCTCACTTTGTCTGCGATGTCAGGCGAGTTCCTGATGAGATACCTTGTTGGTTTCGAACTAGGGAGAGTATATCAGAGCGTTAAGGGATTCAGTGGATAGCTATCATTAAGTTCACTGGCAGCACGGTAGTATGTTAGTACAATATGACTTAGCTTTAGCAGGTCTCGAACCCGGGACCACTGGGATGTTGTTTCTGATCGGTACACCTAAGTCACAGGGTTAACTGAAATGTTAACACGGGCCGCATTTGAATCGTATGCAGGACGTTAGACGTTGCTGCCCTAGCCCAACAGTGCACAATCGTTTGGGAATATAGATTCCTTTATGGTGGAAGCACGCAAGAGGGACCCATGAAGTATTGTTCACCAAAGGACTAGACTCTAATAAAGTGAGAATGAAGGGGAGTGTCTTGAAAACATCCATTAGTGTACATTGAATTAACACGAGTGTTCATTAATGTCAGTAAAAAAGGAAATATGTTGAAGTATATAGAAAAACGTACATTAATTCTTCATGTGTCGGATGCAACTGCTGCTGATATGCAGCGCGTACTTCTTTGATATTTGGTGTTATTGAGAAAAGCTGCAACCTCATACCTGGTTGCTCTTCAAGTCTATTGCAGTAACTTGCTTTTGCATAGGTCTAATACGAATATGTCACACAGATAAGTTGTGGCAAAGGAGAGAAACACAGTGACAACTGTTTTCGCTATGACGGACACTGATCCTTCGTTTGGCACCAGAAATCAGACAGAGACCTTTTGTGAAATTCATCCTATAGGGACGAAGTTGATATCATTTCGATGAATTTCTCATATTGTATAGATGTGAAAGGAGGAGGCTTGTTCTTACAAGTCAGTGG